GGGTGGAAGGTGGCGTTTTATGCAGCATCCCCCTCCCCTCGTTCGATCACCCTGCAAGGGGGGGGGGCTCTGCCTTTTCAGAAACAGGGCAGGAGCTTTGTGCAGAGGATTGGCAGGGGGTGGTGATGCGCGGCCCTCTGGGATGGAGAGAGGGGAATGAGAAGGCTCCGAGGTTCACTTGGGCAATCAAGCCAGAGGGAAACTCAAAGCGTTGGGGGTTTCAGAAGGGCAGAATGTGCTTTAGAATGTGCAGCTCCTGGTTCTAACAGTGAATGACATGAGTGATGTCAAGTTGGCCACACCCACCCGGTCACATGACCAAGCCATGCCCCAAGAACCAGTAGGGAAAATTTTTGGATTTCACCAGTCAAGGCTCTACTTTTACCTCCTTCAGCTTCTCAGATTGCCGTGTTACAACCATGTAACAACCGTGTTATTAACTTAATAATTAGTGATTCATTTAACTGTGGCAAGAAAAGTCGCAAAATGGGGCAAAATGCACTAAACTAATGTTTCTTTTTTTTAAAAAAAATTTATTTTTAAACACAAACATACAACGTAAATACATATAAAAACACATACATATTAATGTATAATACAATACACATACACAAAAAAAGAAGTCTATCGACTAACTCCTAAGAAGCTGTCGCATCGGTGGTTGTTTTCTAATTTACCTGTTATTTCTTTATTTAAAAGTTTGCATTTCTGCTTGTTTGTGCCTTAACGTAATTATACATTTCTAAGCATAGCTTTCTGCATATCATACTAACTATTCATAGATACCATCCTACTGTTTTCCTCATGTGCCAATTTCTATATTCTTATTTAAACTTTCCTAACATCTTATTTTACTGGCCCTATCTTTCCCTCCAGCCATAAGTACCATCTTTGCCAGACTATATAGTAATCGGTATCTTCCTTCTCTTGGAGCTCTTTAGTGAGTCTATCCATTTCTGCACATTCGGTTATTTTTGCAATTATTTTTGCTTCTGTTGGTAGTAATTCAGATTTCCAATTTTGGGCGTACAATATGCATGCCGCTGTCAAAATGTGAATGATAAGGTATTTTATCTCTTTAGTATATTGTGGTGTAGTCATTCCAAATAGAAAAAATTCCGGTTTCATTTCGACGTTTTGCTTAGTTATTTCTTCAATCATTCTCTTAATTTCTTGCCAGTGGTGTTGTGCCTTTATACAAGACCACCAGAGATGGTAGTATGACCCCTTTTGCGACTTACATTTCCAGCACATTGGTGATGTATTTGGAAACATTTTAGCCAAACGTGCTGGTGGGAGGTGCCATCTGTAAAATATCTTATATAGGTTTTCTTTGTATGGGATCGACATTGTCATCTTATGATTTTCTGTCCATAGCTTATCCCATTTGTCCAGTTCTATGTTATGACCTATATTTCTTGCCCAGCTTATCATGTTTTCTTTCACCGTTTCCTCCTCTAATTTGTACTTTAGTAAGTAATTGTAAATTTTAGATATCATTTTCTCGTCCGTGCCTTTTAGTATTTTGTCCAGTTCATTCGGTTCAGTTTGGAATCCATACTGTATCCGGTCTGCTGTGAATCTTGATTCTATTTGAAGGTAAGGCCACCAATCAATAACTATACCTCGTCTTTCCAGTTCTTGTCTCATGTATAGGTTCCCTTCACTGCTCAACAGTTCTTGATATTTCCTCATCTTTCCTATTTCAATAGTATTTGGGTAGATTAATGCTTCCATAGGGGAGAGGCATCGCGGGATTTTAATACAATGTTGCTTTCTGATGTCTTTCCAAGTTTTGTATAGTGAGCCTCTGATTAAGTGTCTCAGGAAGTACCCGTGTTTCTTGTCTGTGCCTTCCCACAGAAAGGCGTGCCAACCTCGACTCAAATCGAATCCCTCTAAGTATAGCGTTCTCCTGTTTGTTAAGTCTATCCATTCTCTGATCCAGTTTAGCGATGCTGCCTTGTAATATAACTTCCAGTCCGGTAAACCGAGGCCTCCCTTCTCCCTGGTATCCTGTAAGCATTTTATTTTGATTCTAGCCTTCTTTGCTTGCCAGATATATTTCATTATTATCTTGTTGAGATCCTTGAAAAAATCTTTTCCTGGGCCAATTGGTATCACTTGAAAGAGATAGAGGAGTCTTGTTAGTATGTTCATTTTTACTGAGGCTATTCTGCCTAGGAATGACAGTTGTACCTTGTTCCAAATTTCCAGGTCTTTTTTAATTTGTTTCATCAATTTAATGTAATTGTCCTCTCTGATCGTTGTTACTTTTGTGGTGAGCCAAATTCCCAGATATTTTATTTTCTTAACAATTTGTATTCCTAATTCTTCCTCCAATTTTGTCTCTTGTGTCTTTGTCATTTTTTGGTTAGGACTTTGGTTTTTTGCCTGTTGATTTTGAGTCCCGCCACTTTGCCATACTCTTCTATCTTCTCTAATAATTTGATTCCTGCTACTTCTGGGTGCTCCACTATGAATACCACATCATCGGCAAAGGCCTATAATTTATATTCCTCTTTCTGTATCCTTAGTCCCTTTATTTCTTCTTCCTTTCTTCCTTCATTTAATAGGACTTCCAATGATATTATGAACAGTTGGGGTGATAGTGGGCATCCTTGTCTTACCCCTTTTTGTATATTTATTTTTTCTGTCATATCCCCATTGATTGTAATTCTTGCTGTCTGGGAGGAGTATACTTTCTTGACCATTTTTAAAAATTTGTCGCCGAAATCCATGAACTCTAGTTGTGCTATAAGAAATTTCCAATTCAAATTGTCGAATGCCTTTTGGGCATCGAGAAAAATTAAGGCCACCTGTTTGTTAATTTTTTGTTCATAATATTCTAAGACATTTAAGATTGTCCTCATATTACTTTTTATCTGTCTCCTTGGGACAAAGCCATTCTAATCCGGATGTATATAATTATGTATAATTGTTTTCAGTCTTTGTGCTATAATTGTCATGAATAATTTATAATCGACATTTAACAGAGAGATCGGTCTACAATTTTTAACCTTGGCGGGTCCGTATCTTCTTTGGGGATAAATGAAATAATAGTTTCTGCCCAGGATTTAGGTGCTTCTGCTTTGAGCAGTGCATCGTTTGGTGTTTATCAAATGTATGTGGAATGGGGGGAGGCAAGGAGAATGGCGAGACTCAGAGAGTAGGTCAGGTGGAGCTGGCTGATTCAGGACTGCTCAGAAGCTGCCCCTGCTGCTGCCAGAAGTTTGGGTGCCTTAGCTTCAGATCGCTCCCTCCCTCCCTCCCACACACACAAAAACAGAGGTTGGAGAGCTCTCTTGCTCTCTCTCTCTCCAAGCCCCCCATGCCTATTTGAGGAAAGGGCACGCACAACTGGGCGCGCTTGGCTGCAGGAGGAGGCCCGGGTGGAAGGTGGCGTTTTATGCAGCATCCCCCTCCCCTCGTTCGATCACCCTGCAAGGGGGGGCTCTGCCTTTACAGAAACGGGGCAGGAGCTTTGTGCGGAGGATTGGCAGGGGGTGGTGATGTGCGGCCCTCTGGGATGGAGAGAGGGGAATGAGAAGGCTCCGAGGTTCACTTGGGCAGTCAAGCCAGAGGGAAACTCAAAGCCTTGGGGTTTTCAGAAGGGCAGAATGTGCTTTAGAATGTGCAGCTCCTGGTCTAACAGTGATGACGTCAAGTTGGCCACGCCCACCCGGTCACATAACCAAGCCACGCCCACAGAACCAGTAGGGAAAATTTTTGGATTTCACCAGTCGTCAAGGCTCTACTTTTACCTCCTTCAGCTTCTCAGATTGCCGTGTTACAACCATGTAACAACTGTGTTATTAACTAAATAATTACAGTGATTCATTTAATTGTGGCAAGAAAAGTCGTAAAATGGGGCAAAATGCACTTAACAAATGTTTCACTTAGCAAGAGAAATTTTCTGTGACCAGCTTTCCGTAATTTTTTCATCAAGGTGCTAAAGGTAGGACAAAATGATGTCAATTTGTCTATTCAGTCATCAGTAATCCAATTTAACCTGATAACACCTAAATTCAGTGGGATTTACTTTTAATAATTAGGCATAAAATTGAGTAATTGAATCCTAGGCTTTTTTAATTGAAGCATTAGATGGGAGGAGTGCAACCACAACAACCAAGATTATCAGGTGTACAGATTTCTACACACAATAATAGATTCTAAAAGCCGAACTACTTTGCTTTTTATCACTTTTAGGTTAATTTCCAGCACTTGTGCAGGGAAGTTTCTTATGTGACTGTCTAATGCATTTGACTGCCCAGGTAGCCAGGGAAGAATGTGTGTGCATTAAATTCATGCATTCTAATTCAGTGACAGTATGAGTGAGAACATGCTTGTCCAGTCATTGTGTGCACAATGCTATATATGTGGAACGCACATTTGCATTGGCACAAAGTCAGCCTGGCCATTTTTAATGTCAAGGCTATTTTCACAGTAGATTAGAGTTCATGCCTTATTAGCTTTAAAACACAGAAACATATTATTTGGAACATTTAAAAAACAACACAACAATAACCCAACAGACACCAGATCACCCTTAACAAGTAACAATTAATTCATTCAACGAACCTCTTATTTTCATGCTAAAAGTTTAGGGCTGAATTTGAGCAGCGCGTTGAGGACCGGTGCATACATTCTACTGTCACGCCTCGTACCGGAGAAAAGTACCATCTAACAACTCAGTAACGAGGCAGTGGCCGCGCAAATCCTGCCTCCTGCATTCATTGCATCAATATGCTAAATAAGCTAATTCACTTGCCGCGTCTGCAGCAGCGATCGCCATCGCACGACTAAACTTTAGGCCGACGCGGTTAAAGGCCGGGAGGATGGGCGGCCGTGTGCATCTGCGAGAGTGCGCACCCTGTCACAAGGTGTGGCCGAAAGCCTGACTGGCCGACGAGGATACGACTCGCGTGGTGCCCGAGGCGGGTGAACCCTCACAGGCGCACAGCCCTTCCCCCCCGCCGCCTCTTTACTTCAGGCGGGCGCGCGCCGGGCTGGCTCAGTCGAAATGGGGAGGCGATAGGCTCGGGAGCACAAGAGCGCGCCTGCTGGCTTTGCTTTTGCTTCGCTTCGCTTTGCTCGAGCGAGCCTTTCGTTATTAAGGTGGTGGGAGTTTGCGCGAGAACCAGCGGTTTTCCCCAGCAGAGGAGGAAGCTCTTTCCGTGGATACGGCATCCTGCTCGGCAACAGAGGCTGTGGCTGTGAGTGTTGAATGACTCTTAGCATTGGGGGTGGGGGGTGGTAATATGTCTCCGCTCCTTCCCAGCAGTAGTTTTATACCAGCTGAGGTGTGGGCCGGTGTGGCTGTCATCCGTCTCTACCTCGGCACCCAGCCGGTTCGGTCGCCTCGCAAAGACCCTGGGAGACCCGGGGCTGAGTAGCTGGGCTGCGAGCTAATCTTCGCTCGCGGCTTCCCATGGCAACCGGCAGCCGCCGTTTTGTGGGGACAGACTAACCGCCTGGGATCCACCCTCCAGAAGCCAGGCAGTAAGGAGGGAGAGCTGTTTCCAAGTTCTCCCTGCTTTCCACCTGCCTTTTCAAGATGCCGAAAAAGCATCAGGCGAATTATGGTCTCCTGTACTAGTCCGTGATGGGGTCTTAAAGGGAAACTGGAAAAGTCCCAGGGCAAGCCCGGTCCTGTGCAAAAATCGCCATGCGTGGAGGGGTGCGATAGAGCCGAGAAGGAAGAAATCGAGGCATGTCTTCCTTCCTCTCCTTCCTGCCACACTGTCTGCCAACCTCCTTCTGCCTCTGGATTTTTCCTTTTTGGTTTAGTCGGTTTTGGGCATTGAATCGCTGGTTTTGCAGTCGGGACTTGCAGTTGTAGCAGCTGAAGCTCATGTCACCTCAAGGCCTGGCATTTCTGTCATGAACTGGAGTCCTAATGGTAATCTCCCTCTTCCTTTTTCTTGCTGTGTGGGTGTGCCTCAGTTGTGTACATCCATATTCTGACAGCCAGGCTTGGTACAGCAGCAACATCAGTTTATCCTTTTTAGCATTCAGGGCTGGGCTCAAGTTTGGGTGTCTGGCTCAACCTGCTCTGGCACAGCCCCTGAAATGCTACAGGTGTGAGTTCTCTTTGAGCAAATGGCTGCAGTTATTTCATGCATTAATACCCTGTGGTGACAAAATAAGTAGCAGGCAAATGTGCTAGTTGCAGTTGAAAGTGGGAGTCTGGGATTGGGTGGTGCCTTGTTCCTTTGTAGCTGACATACCCTTCGATTATGTCTCCTCTCTACAAAAATTATCCATTGTTTAAATTGTTGAAATACTTCAGTTTTGCTTTTTAGTAAATAGCAAAATCCATATCTAGAGTAATCTAGATTGATGGAGATAGAGGGCTAATTAAATCAGCATGCACTAACTGAAAAATTATTTGATTTTCTTTCCCTCCTTTGCTGACAGAGTATACTTTCGATTTGGCTTCTTTGCAAATAGCACAATCCAAATAATTGTCACAATCTTTTACATTCAAACTTACAGCCAGGTCAGGCATTTTCTGTAATACGTTAAAGCTTGCATGACCCAGCCTTCTGTGCAACAAGTCTGCACACCTATTACGCTTTGGTTCATTTGAAAATATTGTTTGTACACTGCCACCAGTTTCCTTGTAGTTCAAAACATATAAATTGTTCAGTTTCAAACCTTGTTCACAAATCTTGTTATTCTTTATTATCTTACATGCACCCTTTGCAAAAATTACCTTATACCTTCACATTCAGCAAGACACACTCAGATCATCAGCCCTGGGGCAGGTGTGCATGGCCAGCACAGGAGATGGTGAGCGTGTGGGGACCGATGGTGTCTGGCAGCAGCTGCAGCCTGCCAGCCCCACACTCCAGGGCTGTACAGCCTTCACACCACAGGTGAGTCCGAGCACTGCAACCGCCAGGCCAGCCTTCCAAGCAGCAGGTAGAAGCAGAGGTGCGGGGAGAAGCATGCAATGCAGCCTGCCATATGGGCCCTGTGTCTTCCTACTCCATCACAAGCAAAGACAGACGGTGGGGTGGAGTGGGTGGCTGGCCACAGCAATCTCATTCTGAGTGTGTAGCGGAGCCGGAGGATGACATTGTACAGCGGGGGCAGCAGCTTGGTGCCCCTGCCCCACTACCTGCCTTTCCTTTCCTTACGGTGGCGGCACCAGCAGCAGGCAGAGGCAGTGGCATGGGGGAGGCACACTGTCTGGCTCACCAGATGCACTGCATGGCTGCCTGACCTGTTGCAGCTGTGGGCAAACAAAGACAGACAAGATGGAGTGGGCGAGTGACTGCACGGCTGCCTGTCCACTCCATCCCACTGTCTTTCCCCGCGGCCATGACTGGGCAGGCAGCCATGTGGTGAGTCCAGTGGGCTGGACCCTGCCCCTATGCCTCTGCCTGGTGCTTGGACAGTCCGGCGGTTGCAGCATTGTGACTCACCTGTGTTACATGGGCTGCGCAGCCCCTAGAGTGTGCTGGCCAAGGGGCTGGTGGGCTGCAGCTGCTGCCAGACCCCCTTGCGCTCACCACCTCTTCCGCATGCGCCGGGGGAGCACACGGCTGGGTTGATGAGCCTGATACCATGTTTCCCCAAAAATAACCCCTAATGCAGTGGTTCTCAACCTTCCTAATGCCGCGACCCTTTAATACAGTTCCTCATGTTGTGGTGACCCCCAACCAGGGGTGGGTTCTAAATTTTTTTACTACCGGTTCTGTGGGCATGGCTTATTTTGTGGCGTGGCTAGCTGGTCATGTGACCGGGTGGCCATGGCTATGTGTATAGGGACTACTCAGAGGGCTGAAAAAAGTTATTTCTGACAGGTCCTCCCACTTTTGACTGGTCCTCACACTTATGACCATCCTCACATTTATGCCCGTGCAGCATTCTTAACAACTATGTTACTCATTTCTGCTTCTTTTCACCATGGTGATAAGATAGGGCAAAAAACTTAAAATGTGAGGACAGTTGTAAATTCGAGAACTGGTCAAAAGTGCGAGGACCAGTCAAAAATAACTTTTTCAGCCCTCTGAGTAGTCCATGTGCACAAAAGGACTACCCAGAGAGCTGAAAAAAGTGATTTCTGACAGGTCCTCGCACTTTTGACCGGTCTTCGCACTTATGACTGGTCATCATTTATGCCCATTGTAGCATTCTTAACAACCGTGTCACTTATTTCACAACTGCTTCTCTTCACCATGGTGACAAGATAGGGCAAAAACATAAAATGTGAGGACAGTCGTAAGTTCGAGGACTGGTCAAAAGTGCGAGGGCCAGTCAAAAATAACTTTTTCAGCCCTCTGAGTAGTCCATATGCATAAAAGGATACAGCAATAGAGGGATGAAGGAAGGGAAGGGAAATTAGAGTAGGAGTGAGGGTAAGAGAGGGAGGAAGAGAGGAGGAGAAGGAGAAAGGAAGAGGAAGTAGGGAGGAGAAGAGGGGGGGGGAAGAGAAAGTGAGAAGGAAAGAAAAGAGAGAGGTGGTAGGTTTGAGGAGAAAGATTGCTGTACAATAAAAAAGATGAAAGGGAAGAAAACTAACCCCAAACAAATATGAAGATATTAAGATATGAATTGTTAAACTTTAAAGTTTAAACATACAATGTATTTTCTTTGAACAGAGTATTTGGCCGGTTCACAAATTTAAACAGTGTTTATTCATTTCAATTAAATTTACAGCTTCTATATTTCCTTTTTGCCATATTTATTCCTCATCTATTTTTTAAAAAAACCAATATTACCCTTCATCCTCATCTCTAATCTTAATCAAATTCAATTTTTCCCTTCTATTCTATATTATACCCCTTCGCATTGTCATCTATTTTTATATCCATCCTCACATTGGTTAATTATGTAATTATGTAATACAGTTGTTTAATACAAATTCAACATTTTAATATAAATCAATTAGTTATATAACTATCTTTTTTGTATATTAATCAATATGAACATGAATATTCCAAATATTTCCATGCAATCCAATTTCTTACAAATCAATTAATTATATTTACCAATAATAATAAACCAAATAATTTCCCCCATATATTCCTCCAAACCACAACTTAACCATTTCTGCTTTCAACACAATATACAATTAATAGTATCTCAATTATTACAATTCCCTAGTTAAAAAGAGCTTTTTTTCTTTTGTGTTTTAAAATCTTGAACCTCCTTTTTTGCCCTAAATTTCCCATTGTTTACAGTTTTGCACCTACCTTTTTTTGGTGAGGAAAAAGAAAAAGAAATCTCTCTCTGCCTCATTTTGTCATGTTGCAGCAAAGACACAGCTTTACTTTCAGTTTCGTTTTTTCAGCATAGCTAAGGGGAAAAAATCTGCTGGAGATTTTTTTGCAGCTAGCAACAGAGCCCTCGCAAAACAGCTGAGAGGAAATCAACTGAGAGTTGAGGCTGATCTAATCAACTTGTGCTAATTAACCTATCCTGAAGCTGAAAGGGGCTGTTTTTTCTATTTTTGCAGGCACCGGTCTACTCATTTGTTTTCTAACACTGATCAGCTGTAGGGCGGCCCTTTGAAGCCCCGCGGCAAGAATTTAAACAGTTTTTTTCCCTCTAGCCATCAGCTGGGACTCAGGAGGCAGCAATAGATTGGGAGTGGGTGGGGTAAGCGAACGGCCGGCAATCCAACAGAGGCAGAGAGTGAAGGTGAATGAAGGCGTTGGGGGGGGAGCGAGAGAGGGCTTTGGCGACCCCTGTGGAATGGCCATTCGACCCCCAAAGGGGGCGCGACCCCCAGGTTGAGAACTGCTGCCCTAATGTGTCTTTTGGAGCCAAATATATATATGTTTGTATATCTGGAGATACAACAATCAACCGGATTTCTACCATGTTTCATATATATATATATATATGTGTGTGTGTCTTCTTAAGTTTTCGCGGGTGTGCATATGCAAAAAATTAAAATCTCGGGTGTTTTCCCGCGTCATTATAAATAAGTTGGTTAAAATATTTAAAATCCTGGTTAAAATCCCAGTTTAAAATCTTCTAAAAATCCTTACAGAGCACTCTGCAAAGTCCTTTAAAACCTCAGCTAAAATCCTACCAGTGACTTTAAAAGTTTTTCTTTTAACCCATAGCTTCTACATGAAACAGAGCCTGAAGATGACAGGGTTGCGAGCCTGTCGAAACATTGCTTTAAGAAAAACTTTTAAAGTCACTGGTAGGATTTTAGCTGAGGTTTTAAAGGACTTGCAGAATGCTCTGTAAG